ATTGATTGATTGATTGATTGATTGATTGATTGGTCAGCAGGAATGCAAAAATCTGCATAAAAATGCTTAAAATTTCTTAAGGAAAAGCAATATTTTCCCAAATGTGCAAAATACAACTGATGTTCAAAAATCAGCTTTACAAAAACATCACTTTTAAGACATCTTTTTGCTGAATTTTCATTTTGAATTAGTAAAGGTTTAAAATAATTTCCTGTACTTGTAAAAGAAGACACCAAGAAAAAAACAAGTACCAACTAAATTGGCTAGGGATGTTAATTTCTTTCATAAAACGAAGTGAAATGTCTGCAAAACTCTGGTGAAGGGGTAATGTAATTTTTAATTGAATTTCAGTCATCTGTTCATACTCTGCTAGTTGGATGATTCCATTCAACTCTTTCAGAAAGTCTCACATTTAACTTGTGTGGACGAAGACATCCAGCCTTTTTAAAAATGTACCCGCTTTGTAGTTGATTCTTCCATTTCTCATTACTTTCATATATAGACAGTGTTTCATTTTTTGCAATATTATGTCACAGCATCATTTTTTTTAATCCAAAAGTCTTCTTCAAAAAGATGAAAGACCTTTGAAACTGTGCAGAAACAGAGTCGGGATTCAAACCAACAACCCACTGAGTCTTGGACGCTTAGGGTATCCATGCTCAAAGATCCCTCTCACTGTGGGATCTTTTAAGAAATCTTTAGCTAATCAAATGATTAGTTTCTTTTAAGGATTTTCACACCACTTTGCCAGAAATACCAACATACACACTGTCTGGTATTAAAACATCCAGTTTAATGTGTGTTGCCTTTTTGTTTCCTGAGTGGATCCGTACATTAAGCATAATGAAAGAGAACCCTGGCCTTGATGGCGCCTGTTTTTGTTGCCGCATAAATATGATAGAGGTGAATACATTACACAAACACTTTTGCTAACGATGTGTTTGTCCTGTTTTTGTGCAACTCATTAGCTGCATTTAAAGCTGTTTGTGTCTGTGCCCAGATATCGAGTTTAAACAGGGGGAAAAGCGACATGTCGTAGAGGTGGAGGTGTTGCCTGATGGAGTCAGAGAAGTGCGGGAGGCTTTTACAGTCCATCTAAAGCCTGATGAAAACATGGTGGCTGAAACTCAGGTCAGTCATGCTTTCATTCCTTTTACCACAATATTATTATCACACTTAATTCAGAGAGCTTTACAAACTGTAAATGTGAAAAGATGTATAGAGCCATATTTATTCAGGTCAGTCAGTTCCTGAGAGACTAGGGATCTGTTTTTTAGGAATATGCTGAACAGACAACAGCAGCACTTTGCTGTAATGAAAATATTTCACAATAAATAATAGATCGCTTAAGAAAAGGAAAGAGCAGCCAGCACACTAAAAGAGCCTGAGATAGGAACAGAAAAGGGTGTAGTTTGAAGAAGAAACTGAACAAAGAATTTAAAGACAGGCAGCTGTCATCACTCCCAAACTCTTTCCTGAACAGGTGACGAAAGCTATAGTTTACATTGAGGAGTCCAACAGCATGGCTGATGTCACCTTCCCCTCCTCACCCCATGTCATGTCACTGTTTCATTACGATGATGTCGCCAGGACAGCAGACAACTTCCACCCACCAGCTGGCTACCCAGTCATCTGTGTCACAGTGAGTCAAGCAGCACATCTGATTGGAACTATTTTTAAGAAATTGACACAAAAAAATAGCACTGCCAACCACAACGATCAACCAAATTTGATCGTTTTCCCTTAATGAAGACAGCAAAAACTATATTAGAACACCTCCACCCCACTACCGTCCACCCCCACACCCACCCAGGAAGCTAATAATTAAATTGTCCTCCAGGTTTTGGACTGTCTGTCATTATAAAGGCACACTGCGCGGTTTAGCTGGGCTGCAGTCCTCCCTCTTTCACACACGGGAGATCACTTCCACTCTCAAAAACTGTCTCGGTGAGACTCTTAAGTGGATTCTCGTGATGTGTTAAGTCATTTGATCCTCAGGTGGCTGCTGTGTGTGGATCGTGAGTGTGTTTGTGTGTGAGCGCGTGAGGCAGGAGAGTGGATGTGCTTGTTTTGCTGCAGTGTGGTCAGCTGTGTGCGAGGCTCCCCAAGGAGGCAAAATGAAGTAGTCTTGTCAGAAAAAAAAAAAAAAAATCAAAAAAGTGTTGAGTGCTACACCAGAGGGGTTTAGTGTCAACAGGTTTAAAAGCAAATCTGCAGAATCTCTTTAAAGCTCACTTCTTCATCCATTATCTCTACCCTACAAAATATCCAAAAGCTAATTATAAACACTCCATTATAAGAACATAACATATTGAAACATCTGGATTTGATCGTCTCTGCTGTCTTTTATACCCACCCACACCTCCTGTGCCCCATCTTGCAGGCTTGCGACACGAAATACCCAGACTATGACAAGACGGGTCCTATCTGTGTCAGCGAGCACATCAACAACACCCTGACCCGCTACCGCTGGCTCATCAGTGCCCCAGCAGGTCCCGATGGCGTCACCAGCCCCATGAGGGAGGTGGACTTTGACACGTTCTTTACCTCCTCCAAGATGATCACGCTGGACTCGGTCTACTTCCAGGCGGGTTCGAGGGTGCGGTGCGCTGCTCGAGCTGTTAATTCTAATGGGGAGGAAGGTTTGGAGCTCAGCAGTCCCGTTGTCACCATCAGCCAGGAGGAAGGTGAGAGGCAAACAATGAAGGAACCCCATTCGGAGCATTTACACTTCCCCAGAGAGAAACAAGAGAAATCTAATAGCGATTTGGTCCCTGACTGCACAAAGAAAGAGCTTTGTTCTTTAGGAATTATGAATCTTCAGGAAATGGGATTTTTAAATATTAAAACGGAGCTTTCTGTTGAGTAATATAAAATCTTCTCTTCTTTGAGAAGCCTGGGCTTTTGGGGCCATTGCTTTTTATGTGTGTGCAACACCTATTTTGAAAAAGACAAGCTCATGAACAAAAATGTAATTAAGGTAGTTTGGACAACTTTGCATTTCAGAAATCTCAGATTTTTTTTTTCATAGACCTTTTGAGAATTGTGTTTATTCATTTACTTTGAATACCTCTATTTACATGGATTGCTACTCCTTCCCAACATTTAACCACTCAAGGACTTGCAATATTTTATGCAATACCACTTGGTAATGAAAAATTATATTTCTGTCTCCTTCCTAAATTGGTTTAATTTCATCTACTTTGGTGTTAGTTTGAAAATTGACTTTAAGATTGTGAGTTAAAGTGATTCTTTATGACATGGATCAGCTTTATGCAAAAATAGAACATTTTAATAACATGTCCACTCTTTTCCCCTCATTATAATGGTTCAAGTATGCCATAATTTAATGTTTCTACAAGCTATTTTCTGAGAATGATTCAGAGCTATCAGTCATTTCTCAAAAAGAGAAAAGAATGCTTGGTTTTTGCTGTTGCTACGCAATCATTTATGCTGTTTTCCACCTACACATCCTGAAAGCAACAAGTCCAGACCTGCTCTCACTGGGTGGTCGTTGTGTATTCCTGCAAATATGGAAATCACTACCTGACTTGGTAACAATCATTTGTGTAAAAATCCCCAAATCTGTTTTTTCTCTCCCAAAAGAGACTCATGCATATTGGTGAGCCATTCTTACTTTGATTTGCAGTCGGTGCTTTTGTCTCCGCTTTTATTTTCTGTCGTAAAAAGGTATGTGTCAGCCTCGGAAGATGGGAACTGTGGGTGCTGAACCTTTCTCTGCAAAGCTACGCTACACCGGAGCAGACGACCCAAAGCACCCTAACCTCATCAAAGTGACCATCACCATGCCTCACATAGATGGTAAGTTTGGAGCTGGAGGCAGGTCTGCTTCCACCGATGAAGTCAAGTGTAATGTAGTGTGAGTAATATTCACGACTGGGGATCAGCAGCAGCATGGCAGCCAGAATATTGATTGAATCCTGGCAACAAAAAAAAAAAGACCAGCATCAAGGCTACTCCTTGGTATTAATTGTTTTGTTTTTACTTCTCTATTCATCACTTATTAAGCTTATTGTATTTTTTTTTTCCAATTCTTTGTGATCAAACCTTTTTACATTTTGCCCCTCAACGATATAGTCAATATAATTTATTATTGCTTATGTGATAGACTTAAATAATATTATTTTTTTATATCTTTTATATTGGAGTAGGGCAGGCTTTTTTATTAAGTCTCCTTTAGTCCGAAGGTAACATAGTTACTTGATTGTGCTTTAAAATGACACAATGTATGTATGTAAAAAATAGATATTGTAGCCCCTTTATAAACAATTGGTAAAATTAATTTGGGAATAAACTGAGCTCAAACATAGAAAATAAAATGACATTCTAACTGCATTAGCAAAACCATCAAACAATTAAGATTTTTTTTTACAGTTTTAAAAAAAGTAAGCTTACAAATTCCTTTAAATCCTAAATTTAATTTTTAAATAATTTGAAGTCATTTTTATTTGTCTGTGCTGAAACCATCAAATCAAATCAAACAATATTCTCATTCTCAATAAAGGAATGTAAAAATTTTAGATCTGTGGAGTGTCTTAGAATTCAATTATTTGGGGTGTGCTGTGGTGGTGCAGGGGTTAAGCACAACCCATGTATGGAGGCCCTAGTCCTCAATGTCGCAGGTTCAATTCCCAGCCTGGCGACCTTTGCTGTATGTCTTTCCCCCTCTCTCATTACTAACATTCAAGCCAATTAACTATCAAATAAAGGCCACAAGAGCCAATAAAACCTATAAAAAACTCAATTATTTCTGGGAGTGGCTTGATTTGACATTTCCTTCATCTGACTCTGATTATCTAAAAAGCTGGACATGTTTCAGAGCACCATTCATTACATCCTCTGAAAATAGAAAAGGCACAACTGTGAACACACTGAAACATTGCTGTCCACCTAAACAAACAGTCTGGGTAAGAACAAATGTTAAATGTTTTAGTGTCTAAAAAAAGCTGTTAGAGACATATTATAAAGGACTTATAGTTGTAACTAGAGCAAAAGGTGACTGTACAAAGTGTTGCTATGCGGAACAAAATCCAAATGTAGGTCACACTTTTTAGACTATTTAGAAATCAGTTTGAGAGCAATGCATCATTTTACATTCACCTGACAACTACACACTGCTTTATGTTGGTCTTTCATATAACATCCCACTAAAATAAAGTTTTGCAAAGCATAGCATCTCTCAAAGACACCTGACCATGCCTGGAATCTTTTCCCATTCAATTTTGCAGGTATGCTTCCAGTAATCTCCACTCGGCCCCTCATGAACTTTGACCTGACTCTGAGTCCAGATGGAACCCGAGTCGGAAACCACCGCTGTTCAAATTTGCTTGACTTCAATGAGGTCACCACAGGTCACAGCTTCATCACTTCTTTGACACGCAGCCCAGAGAGCATGGGGGAGTCTGCGCCCTACCAGTTCAGCAGCTCTCTGCGGGGGAACAGCACGCTGCGCTTCTACAGGAACCTGAACCTGGAAGCATGTCTGTGGGAGTTCAGCAGCTACTACCACATGTCTGAGCTGCTGACGGACTGTGGAGGTACAATAGGCACAGACGGACAGGTGTGTGTAACCTTTGTCCGAAACTGCTTTTAAAATTCAATTTAGAGATTGTGTGTGTATTTGGCCGACTGCTGCCTTTGTGTGGATTGTGGCCCGTTTGTGCTCTGTTGCGTATGCTCAGTCTATTTACACACTGACGTCTGAATGAGGAGGCGACACAGACGGAGTAGCACCATATCTCTTTTTCTCCTTTAAATGTTTCATTCAGTGGAGGTTTGTGCGTTTGTTTGCTAATTCCGGACACCCGTTTGTGATGTCAGTG